GGTCTATATAGACCCCCCCCCCTGGTTTCTACAAGGACTTCCGAGGGGTCTATGAATGTGAAAAAAAATTGGAGGACATTGGAGGACTATGACCAGTAAACGGGGGTCTGCGATAGTGGATCTCATTCAAGCGTGTCGAAAATTCTAATTTCAGTTCCCATTAACGATTGTCACGTTTATTGATCCTTTGAATTTGAACTCTCTGTGGTGGTAAAATGGCACTGAAAAGTTCTTATGTAATTATTTGCAAACGACATACTTCTAAAAAAAAAAAAAACTGGACTAGTTAACCTTGCCTGATAATATAGTGTTATTTTTTGTTTTCGTTTTAGTAGGAATCAAGAAATCCATAAAGAACTGCTCTTTGCCTGAAACTTGGATCAATTGCTCCTCAAGATTGAAGTATGCTAGTTATCAAAAGGCTAATGTTTGACAATATGTTTTTCTGAATTCTTGGATGCTATAGATCCAATTTAAAATTTAAAAAATTAATCGGAAATCTGACATTGAACCGACTTGTTTCAAACATTTTATAAGGTTAACATGCAGCTAGAAAGTGATAACCTAAATTTAATTAACAGGAAGTCATCATCTATATATTTCTTGTGAGGTTTAAAAAAAAATGAATCATACAATGGACAGGATGAATTTCCCCAATTTACAAATTCTCTAAAGTCAAACATCATCTAATCGAGAAGTTATAATATTAAAGTTAATTAAACCAAACTAAATTGATGGCCAATATTGAAACGTTATTATCAAAGCTGCCCACCATTAGGCGTTTTTTTACTTTGTCAGTTCATGTAGTACATATTTTTTGTTTGCTTCATTGAAACTTTAATTACATCCATGAATATATAAGATCTTGAAATCAGTGAAAAACAAAAAAAAACAAAAAAAAACAACAAACAACAAACAAAAAAAAAAAACAACAAACAAAAAAAAACAAACAACAAACAAAAAAAAAAAAACAACAAACAAAAAAAAACAAACAACAAACAAAAAAAACAAACAACAAACAAAAAAAAACAAACAACAAACAAAAAAAAACAAACAACAAACAAAAAAAAACAAACAACAATCAAAAAAAAAAAAACAACAAACAAAAAAAAACAAACAACAAACAAAAAAAAACAAACAACAAACAAAAAAAAACAAACAACAAACAAAAAAAAACAAACAACAAACAAAAAAAAACAAACAACAAACAAAAAAAAAAAAACAACAAACAAAAAAAAACAAACAACAAACAAAAAAAAAAAAACAACAAACAAAAAAAAACAAACAACAAACAAAAAAAAACAAACAACAAACAAAAAAAACAAACAACAAACAAAAAAAAAACAAACAAACAAAAAAAACATTAAGTCGTATGAATTTTCAAAAAAAAAAAAATGCTGGGGGTCTACGAAAACTGGAAAACATGTCAAAGGGGCTGCGAGACAGAAAAAAAAAGTTTGGGAAACACTGATTTAAGGCATACATCATTTTGAAGACGGTTGGTCTCTCCTTCTAGCTTGTCAATATAGTTAAATCTACTCAGTAAAGATTGAAATCGTTTTCCGATTTTTTGTGTGTAATATAGTAGTTTTGGTTTTGCCAATGAAATATTGATGTATTTCACTATATAAAAATATGTATTATAAAAAACATCGACATGACATAAATCATAGGTAGATAAGAATTAAGTAGATAAATAACTTGTAAATGAATCATAAATAAGGCGACAAAAAAATTTCTTCAGAAATGTGACACAAACTTAATGGTATTCTATCGCATTATCTAAAATAATCCTAGTGTCTAGGTAAAATACTCCAATCTAATATAAATGTTTAAGTTTCTTATATTCGCATCTTTTTCAATTATCTCGTTTATTTATCTAGTAAGTAAAGTAAATTTGCACATTTTAGACCTCGCCATCTATGAGAAGGTGTTGTAGATGTCCTCTGTTTCTGTCACCCATGGTTCACGAGTGTGTCGAGTGGCCAACACAACGACCAACTGCCATTACTTCTCCCCAGCCAATGTTAGGTACCCTTTAGAACTGGGTGGACTCAGAGGCGCCCTATAGGTCCCGAAGTTAAAAATCTAAGTTTTCACCAGGATTTGAAATCAAGACCAACCGGTGCGGACGCCAAGCACTTTACCTGAGCTACCGCGCTTTGTCTATCCATCTACCAATACCAAAAAGATGTCTCTAAAGCAATGGTTCTCACATTCCTGTTGTATGGCCCTGAGACCTGGGTGCTTTATCTGAAACATCTAATGCTCCATTTAACGCTTCCACCATAGGTGCCAGCAATATATATAATGGGTATACGTTGATAAAGAAACCTACAGATGGCTGCCTAATAACTAATACTTAGAGACATGAAACATTGTAATGTTAGACAATCTTCTTTATCTTATATAATACAGACGCTACTTCAATATTATAAGTGGTTTACAACAAAAGTACGCAAAAAAAAAAAATTCCACTTTCCTAACAGTCAAAACAATGGAGCCTGATAAGTTTCGAATTTGAAAAGATATAAGATGTTGACTTCACTTTATAACTATTTTGTATATGTTTCCGTAAACATCTTAAATGTAGTTTCGCATTTGTAATAGCACCTCAAATTATACCTATAAAGTTTTTGTGACAACTTGCCCCTGAGACTTTTACCCTTACCGTCATCTACTTGTTTAGCTCAAATTATACAAGCTAGAAAAACTACTAAGACTTTGGTTTAAATTACTTCAAGCTTTTCCAAGAAAATGATAAGTTACAACTGTTGACTAAGGCAAGGAAAGACTTACAATTAATTTTATGAATAGAGAAAGAGATTGAGACTAGAGATTTTCAAGTAATACCCAATGAGAGAAAGAAAAAAAAATAGGTCCGCCGCAATTGTGTTTCGCAATACTTTTGTTTTTTAAATTTCTTCCACCTTGTGCTTTAAAACCCCACCTTTCCAACCTTGAGCGTAACCAGGATCTTTTTTATTTTGAGGGTATATATATATATATACATATATATATTCATGGCCCAACCGTGCAGGACATCACAGAACATTGACTGCATTTATGTGTGTATTTTTTACACACGTCAATATCCGGTGTAATAAAATAGTTGCATGTTTTTTCTAACTTTTTATTTTGCCCCTTCGTATAGCCCTTTGTTTACTAACCATGGCCACCGCTTCACATAAATTTCGTGGAATCAACAGGTCTTTCAATGTAGTCAAAATTCCTGCGTCAGGTAACTTTATTTCTATCAGTTGCATAATTCTGGAAAAAAAGTCATTGACGAAACTGTTGTTTTCGAACTTCGCAAAATGGTTGTAAGCTTTGTTTGCGAACATTGGAATAGCTATATCAACGCTCTGTCCGTTGCTCCTACTCAGGGAAGGACAATCATACACTCTAACATGTTCCGACAAGTAGCGGCGTATACTATGCCGCGGATCGACTAGTATATATATGATGTTTTAGTATTTATATATTGTGTGTATGAGTAAATACGTAATTAATCTTCATCCTTTCTAACGTTTTTTGTACCCTGGAATATAGGTTCTTCATGAAGTTTGACAGTAGAAACCCCGCCCAGGTGTGCTTTGAGCTCCCCTTGGCTACACTCATAGAATTTGGTGGCTGTAGACTGCATTAGTTTAAATTTTGAAGATGGGATTTTTAAGGTCAAAACTCTACGGAGGGGAGTTTTAAAACTCGAAATCCTCCGGAAGTGGTTTTAACTCTCCCCCCCCCCCCCCCATCCCGTCTACGATCATGGAGTTAGATAACTGTCATTTACTTTATTTTATTTTTTTGTTTTGTTTATGAAGCCCGGGCTAGCTGCCCTGCCTCATAGTGGCGCCCGGGTGGAAACGGTCGTAGGAGGGGACGACTAGGCCAAATGGACGGCGAAAAAAGGCTCCCTTGAAGGTGCCTAAAGTGGAGCGAGAGCATTGCCATTGCACTGTGCGGGGATGTGAAAAATCTCCTGCAAGACCTGTCAACATCCAGGGGCCGTTACGTAAATGGCGTGTCCCGCACGGTTAGCCTGGTACAGTATACGAATACGACGAGGGAATCCAGTGGTGCGTCTCTAGTCCGCGAGTCCGGAGTGTCCGTGTCCATTTGAAGTCAAAGTTTAACCCCAAGTCTCACTCCCCCCCCCTCTGTCGGAAAGGGTGGCGGGTAGAGGGAACTTGCAAGCCACCCATTTCAGGCTGGTGAAAGGGAGCTTTTGTTCGCTTTTGCTGGCCTTGGTGTTCCAATTACGATGTACAGCACTAGTTGACTCTGTAAAATGGATTGTTTATGAAGGGGAGGGGGGGTTAACATCAAAACATTCTTAAGGCGATATTTTAAACTTATCCCCCACCCCTTAGAAACGCTGGGGGAAGTGATGGCTTAACATTAAAATCTCTTCTACTATAAAAAAAAATAAATAAAAAAAACAACAAAAGTCACAAAATCCCCTTCCCAATTTCGTTGGGGGGGGGGGGGGGGGGAAAGGCGTTTGGACACCGAAACCCCTCCCCTCTGACAAGTTAATGTTTCCAACCTTAATCACTCAATGTGTGTCTGTGTAGATTCTTTTCATTTGTGTTTAAGTTCGTAGAATGAGCCCTTATATATATATATATATATATATATTATTTATTTTTGTAACAAAGCTTATTTCAACTCACTCTGTCTGGTAAAAAGTTTGTTCACCTGACTTCTCCGACACCCTGATTTCTTCGACATATATATTTATATATATATATATATATATTATATGCTAAAACATGACAGATGCGCTATAACTACAGATACGCTAAATAGATTGGACAAGAGCGCACTGAGCATGCTAAAGCATGAAAGATGTGCAATAACTTTATAATTGAAAAGAATAGCACATATTTTCAATCTATACATATATTTGTTCTTCAATTTTTATGAAAAATACAAAAATAACAACAAAACAAACAAACAAACAGGAAGCAAAACATAAACCTGTTACAAAATTTATATAAAAAAACAACTTATAAGTTTCCTACACTTGTCACATACAAAAATGTAAGAAAAGAATTTTATGATAATGAATTTAGTAATTTATCTATTCAAATTATTAGTGTCCATTATTTCTTATTTCTCGTTTTTTGCTTACTAGATTTCATATAATCGTTCAACACTTCTACCTGTATAAACTCTTTCTCTCTCTTTTCTCTCTTCACTTTCTCTGTTACCATTCTTTCTCTCTGTAATTATTAAGTTTAAACCAATGATATTATTAAGGTTGTTAAAGTAAAACACACAATATTACATTGTATTTAGACATAATCTCTATTACATTAACAAGTGATTCACAAATTACATTTATACAATGTATATATATATATATATATATATATATATATATATATATACAATAAATCAGAAAGAAAGGCGTATGTAAGCATGGGTGTGTGTCCCTCAGAGTAATCAAAACCGTTTGTCCAATCTTGATAACTCTACTTTTATTTTCGTAGCGAAATTAAACTATTTGTAGGGAACATACGCCATTTTTGACATAAACTAGATCTGAATCCAATTCATTAGATCAGTAATAACCAAAATCCCGCGGGTAATACCCTGCTAGTATACATTTATAAACGAATGAAAAGATTAACGTGGTTTATAAAAAAAAGCTAAAGAAAGCTGTTAGTCCATAATTTAAAAACTATGCTACTATAAAGATATACATCTGCATCCAACATTATTGATAGCATTTGTAATTGTTTGCAAAGGTAATAAAATTAAATAATGTTTTTAAAACTGAAGTTGTTTGTAACATGCTGAAAAACTGTGTCTCCTATCAACATCAGATACTCTGCAACAGTTTTTCTGGTAACTTCTATGTGATCATCCTCCAACTTAGTGTACGTCACCTTCATATATATATTTAATTCAGCCATCTTGGTTCCAGTTAAACTATTTTCTTGCCCCGTGTCTATTTCCTGATTTACTTCAATTTCCATGGGGATAATTTCCGTGTCCGTTGGAATGTTGTCGTTTTTGCTTAGACTCTGTGCTTGTAGTTGATCCACCTCCCCTTGGATTTCTTGAGCATGTCCTACACGCGAGATGTACTCCTGGATCATTCCCTTCATAACTTGTACGTATTCTATGAGTCTGGCCAAGGCAACTGTGCCAGGGTTGTACTGAACTACATTACTCAGCAAGTCTTCAGCCCTGGATTGCAACTTCAGGAAAGAATGTATAGTCTCTTGATCAACTGTGTCAAATTTACCTAGGCTTTGAATAATAAGGCTAGCTTCCTTCAAAGTTCTTTCACAGACTTCTAATTCCCATGCTTTAGCTCTTTCGTCTTGGGCGAATTGAAAATACTTGCATGTATATCTTAGTCCATCGCCTTTAAGTGTCTGAACGATGTCAAGTAATTTATTTAATTGTTGGTCTTTCTTTTGTTCATCTTCAGTTTTATTATCAAAAAGCACTGCTCGAGATCCACATTCTAGGAGAAGATCATGAAAAAAGCTTTCTTGTGTAGAGCACCAAGTCTCAAATGATTTACTATTTTCCTCATTAAAATTATCCCCATTAGATACCACTAACACACCAAAAAACTTTAAAAAATGTTCTCCAAAAATGCCCTTCAATACATCTATAGTTAGCTGGCATTCTTTTGTGAATCTTTCACCCAGCTTAACAACTACAAGGAATGCATGATAGCCTAGGGTATTCACTGTTATGGCATTAGTCATTGTTCTAGTAATTTGTGTAACAGACTCTTTTTCTGATAGCTCTGTATCAAACACTCCAGGCCCATCAACTACTTTAATAATAAAATCCTTATATTCAGCGTAATGTACTTCAAGAAATTTTGTACATGAATTGGCACTGTAACTACTTTTAAACATATTGCGTTTTAAAATAGAGTTTCCTGTAGAGCTTTTACCACTTCCGGTCTTACCAATCAATAGAAGATCTACTTCTTTTAGGTTCATTTTAATTTGACAGCAGTGTACATAGATCTACAACCTGAAAAAAAAAAGTTTTATTACATACTTAATCGACACATGAAATGCGTAGGAGGTAATTATCTTCTTTTTTGAAGTAACGTCTTTAATATATAAACAAAATAATATATAGAGTATAAATGTTGCATGGGTTCGAAATGTCTGCAAGAGAAAGAAAACGAAAGCTGTCCCACCAGTACCAGTTAGTCCTAAAACATGCATTCGCATGCCGAAACTGTGCAGTGGCTTGATTAGTAACACCAGATTCTACCAAGACTCAAGAAGAATTTGAAACCACTGATTCATCCATAGTCTTCAAAGACGAAAGGAGACACATATATATATATATATATATATATATATATATAGGCTATATGCACGATTCATGAGTGCAAAAAAGCTCAAGTAGCCTTCAGCCATTGTCAGTAATCTTGCCAACGCCATTAGATGCCAAACATTTTGACCACGCATCGTTTTCAGCACCAACTTGGGCATTAAACTATCCATTAATATAAAGATGCTCGAACTTCGGGATTTTTAAAATTACCTCCTCCAAAGCTTGGAAGAATGTTATTGTCCTGTTTTTGGTGTATCTAGGTTTGGTGAGAATAAATTGTTATTTGTTTTACCTTTCGGAGAAGCCAGTTTCATGTCTACTACCATTTTGTTATATTGCTGCCACCGCTGGCTAGCACCCGTTAATGGTTAGCATATTGTAAGCCTCCCTATTCTTTACATAGCCCCTCAGCTTCAACTTATATGCAGCAGCTCCTCGTGGTGACAGTTGGTAACTAACTGGGCTGTGAAGCTTCAGGCTATTCGGCAAGAGTCTCGGAGGAGGTTTGGCCCCAAAATGTGTACCATCATGGCACGTCAGTGTGCTGCCCACAAACCATATTGCTATCTATAGGTTAACAGCTGCACTGCCTTGTTTTATTAGAGATACAGTCGTAGTTATACTAATATCAGACAGCATACTAATTTTATACTTTATTTACTTTTTACAGAAAGGTTATGTTTTGAAAATTATTTTAAGGTTATTTGATACAAGTGAATTCGTGACAACTCAATAAGCTGGTTACATTTCTATTTTTGCTATTTATGTACCTATTTTATTTCTGAAAAAAGTATATCTATAAATTCATTGACTTAAAACTAAATATATCTAGGTGTTATTATAATGTAAAGTTATCATGGAATATATATGTAATGAAATAAAAGTAAAGCCTTTAATAGAAATTCTTGCAAATTAAACAAGAAAATAAAACTATAATGAGATTGTACAATCTTAAAATACACATTGTATTTTTCAGACAAAATATTGGAAATGTCTTAGTAAGAAATTGATTTGCACTAGGTTCTGTTTACAACAACAATAACCTTCTTGGAGTGTATACTCCATGACACAGTAACACCGGTCTACAAGAAAGTCCCCCCCCCCCCCCCATCTTTACCAGTGTGAGAAAAATTATGTTATATATGTTTAATACAATCTAATAACTAGCGTAGACAATTATTATAATGAAAAACAAAAATCAAAGAAAGTGAATGTATTTTGGTAATTTTATTAATTATGTAACAGTACAGTACAATACCTGTATAAAAATATAATGTAAAACTGTATCTGGAATTACCCCTTGAGATTTTTTATACAACAATAAATAAAAAGGGGGAGATTAAATTATCCTGTCCAGAAAAAAAATTAAAATATTTAAATTGCAGCTAGAACCAAACTGAACATCAACTAAATATTGCTGTCTTTTACAATTATAATAATTTTATCCTCTTTTCACTTTGTTTAGCCAGAGTCATCATGCCTAGATCTGATGCAACACCAGGTTCTAGTAAAAGTTTGTGACTTTGATTGGTAAGAAATGCATGGAACAAAATGAATGACAAACACTTACTTAAAGTGTTGACTAAGCTCTCAGTCTCTATACTTTATAAAAATAACAAGTATGTTTATAGGAAATAAACTACTTATCAGAATGCTGAAATTAATAATTTGTATTATCTTGTTGATGCTCAGTTTCTAAGCTCATTTGAATTTTTTTTTTTATATTCTCAGAGAGATTTAGCTTGTGACATTCTGAGAATCCTCAATACTGCAATCATTAGTTTGTTTCTATCACCTCTCTAATCTTAGAAATATAACAGTAGCCTGACAATAACTGGAGAAATATGTGTAAACGATCTCAATCATTCTATTTTTTAATTAATCGCCATGATACTTTTCTGTATATAATGCTGAAAATATTCATCCAAACCACAGAATTAAAAAAAAAAGTGTGCAGGTATGTGACTAAAATATCCAACTTGCATTAGTTATCTAGCTTCATCAGATTAAGGAAGTAATCTAACAGAGAACCAACATCAATAATAGTAAACTCAGGTGTACCTCAAGGAGCAGTTTTAGGCCAAATACTTATTCTAATTTACATAAATGACATACCGAAATGCATTAGTTAAGAAACAAAAGTCAGATTATTAGAAGAATTAGAGAAATGGGAATCAAATTGTAACATGTTCTTTCCACCCAGAAAAAATGCAAAAAAAAAAAAAAAAAAGGAAAAACAGCAAAAATAACAACACTAAAATGAAAGAAAAGACCATAGAAAGTAGAACAAATGTAAAAGAACAGAGTGATTTATAACAAACAAATATTTGCATTGGATTAGAATTACACCATTTGTAAAAATCAGTAAATTTAGAGACACTACAGGATAGAAAAATAAAATTTAAGTACTGTAGCAATAATAATTTACAAAAAGAAACACAAAACCTAATTAAATACTCAGAAAGACTCTAAGATAAAAGCACATTTCTTTTTTCATAGTCTAGTACAAGGGCCCCTTCTTCATCAACAGAGATTTGAATGGGTTGTCTGAATCAGCCAGGAAAATCTTCAACTGAGCAGTAAGTCATTGATTAACATGCAAGACTATATTGGTACATGAAATGTAATTAAATGTCATCTAAAACATTAGAAGATAATGACTTATCCTCAATCTCTTCTTTTACTTGTGCAAAGCCCATATATATATATACATGTATATATATATTAAGATTTTTTCACAACAAAAGACAATATTCATAAAAAAAGAAAATTACATTTTGGAGTTAATTTACTGAAAATGTTTTTACTAGATTGCTGAAGATATGTATAATAAAATACATTTTTATCTCATTCAAGGATGAAACAACTATGTGATGAGATGTAACCATAATTAGTTTGTTTATATTTATATGAAAAAAATGTGAGAAGAGTGGTTGAGAGGCCAAGTACGATTTAACTTGGCTACCTATGAAGGAGGCTTGAGGTGCAACACTCAAGTCAAGCAGAGTTGTGTTTACAGATCACCTAATGGCAGCACACAAAAA